TCGGCGTCTTGCAGCCAGCATACGGCGTCGCCGTCACCTCTGTACAGAGATTCTATGTCTCGGTGAGACCGGTTTACACGCACTATGTGTCGTCTGGTGTCACCCACACTTTCCGCTCCTTGAGAGCTCTGATGTTATCTACAACATCAGATGAAGAACTGCTAACCCTGCAGTCTTCGCCCTGTGGTTACCGTGTCACTCCACGCGCATCTGAAGGGCCGTGCCCAAGTTGCCTCGGACTTGTCCGACCACGCCATCAAAGGCATGCCGCGAGTGCTTCGCAACGAGAGTAGTTATCAGTGGTTTTCGTTCCACTCCACGCGCATCACGAGGGCCTCGCCCTCGATGCCTCGGCCATTGGCCGACCATGTCACGCATGGCATGCAGGGACAGCTTTGATACTCAAGTAGCGCTCAGTGGTCTACGTGCCACTTCAAGTGCATCATGAGGACCTCGCCCTCGTGCCCCGGCCCTTAGCCGACCATGTCACGCATGACAAGCAGCGACGGCTTTGAAACTTGAGCAGCGCTTAGTGGTTTACGTGTCACTTCACGTGCATCACATGGGCCTCGCCCTCGATGCCTCGGCCCTCGGCCGACCATGCCACCCATGATACGCAGCGACTGCTCCAAAACGTGAGCCTCGCTCAGTGGGTTACGTGCCACTCCACGATCAGCCCGTGATCCTGTCCAGTGCACTGTTGGTGTCTACCAACTCATACATTCCAATGTCTAACCCGTTGACCGTCTCGGCCCAGTACTCTCGCCAATAGCGCTTTGATCTCCTAGCAGAGGTGGGTTCATGACTCGCCAAAGCTCCACCAGGAGACGTGCGCGTAGCGCCAAAGCTCTTTGATCTCCAACCAATCAGTGGCTCATGGTGTTCCAACCATGCCATTCCTAGTATGAGGTCATAACTTGCATCCAAGTCTAACACCAGACAGCGTTCCACGCTGTCAAAGTCAAGGAGCTTGACTCTGAGGTCCACAAGAACCTTCGGGACCGTGATACGCGTCCCCGTCGCTAGGCAAAGAGTGACGATGTCACCCAGCCGAATTTCAGCGCCTCAGTATACAGCTGACTTCCCTCCATCATAGCACCCGCGCCTACTGAGTGGCGTCGTGTCCCCGCGACAAACTAGACTGGTAGACTCTAGGGCGATAGTTCGAAAAACATTGACGCGCTTTGCGCAGGGGGCAACCGTTCCGAAGGTGACGGGTGTCTCCACAGACAAAACACCGTC